TGAGTCCAGAATGATTTATGTGGGGCCCTCACTCCCCACCCTTCCCCTGCTGCAGTCATGGGTGGGTGCCATGGTGTATCCCTTCCTGCCATATATACACCAAATCCCAATCCCTCAGGTCAGGAAAGTGGGCTGAATAACCGACCACTGGCTACCCTTTGATTTCCACAGAAATGGGAGCTTCGGAAATATAAGTTATTAAGCCTGCTTCTGGTTTCTTTTGTAAATGGAATCTGGTGAAGTTTTCCTAAGACCTGAAGATTAAGACATAGCTAAGCCTAGCAGATTTTATGCTTCTATTTTTTGTTTTGGATATTCCCTGGGTGGGGTGGAGGGCTGGAGAGCAATGTTCTCTGTTGGTGGGCTGTACAGATGCTTCTTCCAGGAAGGCCCATTTCCGATTCTGCCATGGCGATACAGACACACAACCTTGCCTGTTAAGGGCTTGTTGGTGGAAAACATTAACTCTGAAGTCTGGTTCCATGTGAGCAAGGCTAGGACTCCCATAAAGCTGGGCAATGATACTCTGAATTTAGCTGAACTCTTAGGGCAACTTTATTATTTCTGGGGCTATAATTTTCAGGAGAATGTTTCCCTCGGTGTGAGAAAATGACTGCTTCCCACAGAACTGGCAGGCGTGTGAAAAGAGAGCTCTTTGGCAAATATGCTGCTCCTCCATCCTTAAAGAGTTTTTCACCTCCAGGGCACTTGTCCAGAAGTAGCCTCACTACCTAAATCCTGTCCTAGCAAGTAGAAGGCTTCCTCTGTACCTCCAACCTGATTTCTTATGACCACTGATAACATCTTCCGTGGTGAACTTGGGATCAATAGTAAGCAAGTCACAACTTCTGTCTCAACTGAACTTGGGCATCAGGGACAGTTTCCATTCCAGGGAGTTAAGGGCTTCCTAACTTTCAGCAGTGGTGTTGATTCCACTTCTGAGGAGTGGGGCACCAGAAAGCCTCCCCTCCCTATCTACTTGCAAGCATAACAAACTGAAAAAGAAATCTTTTCTCAAATATTCTGTTGAGTAAAGATTCCATTGGCTTACTTACACTGGGTTTTTACAGAGACAGGGATCCCTCTTTGTTCCCATGTCTAAGTGACTTTAATGAGAGAGGTTAAAAATGTTAATTCAGGCAAGTCCACCTGCATCGGGGCTCCCTTCCTTTCATTCCCCCATACCTGACAGCTCAAGAAACCATGTGGGCATTTACTGCTCAGCTGTTCCAGAGACCCTCAGGAAAAATAGTGTGTGCCCCAATTACTGGAATAGTGCCTGCTTCAGTTGAAAAGAATTTTTTCTTCTTTTGGTAAGAGCATTGTCTTCTTCACTATCAGGGCCTCTGTACTCACTGTCCCCTCTCCCCAGAATAAGTCACCTGCGTGCCATTCCTTCTCCTGGCAAACACTCATCTTTCAAACTCAGCCTAAGGGGGCACCTGATCTTGTCTGGGGGCTCTGGTGGTTTTCTGTTATATACACCCATAGGACCCCACAACTCCCTTTGATAAATCTCACCTCATTTTCATAATTACTAGTTCAAGGCCTGCCTTCACTACTGGGTCATGAGTAGGGTCTAGAGACAGGACCTTGTCTGCTGTGTTGCTCATGCCCCCTCGCCCAGCATGGTACCTGGCACAGGAGGCCCTCAGTGAAGGGATGGATTATTTGGGGGAATGTGTCTGGTTGACTGGCTGTTGCAGTTTGGAGCCTTGTAGGGAGACCTGGAATATTGACCTGGGGTTGGAAATGCTTTCTCTCACAAGCAACACTAGATGAGGTAGAGTGAGCATCAGGCAAAACTCTGCCTGACATTTATATCACTTTATAGTTTATACAGATGTTTCATCTACGTTATCTCAGTGCAAGGAAGGTACTATCATCTCCATTTTACTGGCAAGGAAACTGACGGCTCAGAGTGGTGCAGTAACTTGCCCCAAGTCACACAGTAGCGGGTAGAGCTGGAGAGTAAATTATTCCCCACTATGATACCATTACATTAACAGTATAATGTCATAAAAACTATAGCACTGCTGATTGTCTTACTTCCAAGTTCTAGTTGGTCATAGATCGTTCAGAGCTTTTTTCAAACTGTCTCTATCACTTATTGAAGATTTGCCCATTGCCTCTTTGCAAGTTTACCCTGCCTTGTAGAAATTTTGATTATTTTACTGGATTTCTCATGCCTAGCCAAAACCTCCCATGTCCTCTCTTCTGCCCATTCTCCAGGGAGCCGCCGTTCCATGTTTGCATTTCCACTGGCTTCTCTTTCTTCCAGCCGGGCCCCCGCCCTCCGCGGCTGGCCTGCATTCACTCTTCTGGGTCTCCAGGTGTGTCTCTTCATTACTCACCCCTGGGGCCTCCCATGTGTAGTACATCCAGCTCTGGATCCCTCCTCAGGTGAGAGCTAGAGCACCTTCTGACATCAGCCATGATGCTTTTCTGTCACAGGAACGGACCTCAGAGCCATGTGACTGATGAGTAACTAATGTGTCAGCCAACTGCGTGGCCAAACAGGTGATTCTCCTCGCAGCCTAACTGCTCCTTTCAAAGATGTCACCAAGACATCACCAGAGCCCCTTCCCTGGAAGTGCTGTCAGAAATCTGCAGAGCCACATGTTTAGTGTCGTCAGGGGACTTCCAGGTCAAGATGGTGGACTGAACACATGCTCCAGCCTCAATTTCTCACCCCACATCTCTGGAATTGATGACAAGATATTTTAANATCACCAGAGCCCCTTCCCTGGAAGTGCTGTCAGAAATCTGCAGAGCCACATGTTTAGTGTCCTCAGGGGACTTCCGGGTCAAGATGGTGGACTGAACACATGCTCCAGCCTCACTTTCTCACCCCACATCTCTGGAATTGATGACAAGATATTTTTAAAATCCACACTGAACTGTAAATCAAGAAGGGGAACCCTCCCTGGGCCAGAAATTCTGGAAGCACAAAACCTGATGGCATCAATCTGATAAAGGAAACAGATCAAAACATACACAGGAGAGAAGAGTATTCCTACAGATGCGGGACAAAATCCAGGAGGGCGCCACACCGAGAAATAGTGGGTTATGAGAGCAGGAGGAAACCGGGGCAGCCAGCAGGTTGGGGAACTGGCTTCAGGAGTTCTTGTCCATCTCCCTTCCCCTTTCCAAGCAGCAACTGCAGCGGGGACTCTGCCCAGAGAAGCTATGGAGGTATAGAGGGTTGGAGCTCAACACGCAGAGCATGCTCAAGCCTAGAAGCCTGACTGCCAACACATTCTGACTAGTGGTGTGTCCCACCCCTTCCTCAGTCTTCCTGAAAACAGATTGCAGTACAGCCTTCAGAGGAACATTTGCCCTGTCCTACTCCTTCCCCCAAAGGAGGGCAAACGCAAGCAGCCAATGGGCTGACGGAGCTTCAGCCACAAACATGAACACGTAATTAAGAATCACCAAGCATTTGATGAGTGCCAGTGCCGTGAAAGGAAGTCACAATCTGTAAACAATCAGAAGCAAACAATCAGAAGCATTTACACCCGAGGAAAGAGACTTACTGATCAATCAAAACGGGACTCTAGAATACCTTGAATTGTTAGCATCAGAGATACCAGNTTACTGATCAATCAAAACGGGACTCTAGAATACCTTGAATTGTTAGCATCAGAGATACCAGCAAATATTGCATTATTAAAAAAATGAACAGATATGAACATTAATATTTTGATTTTTGGAGTAAAAATGTGAATGGATGGGCTGAAAATACAAACAGATTACAGCTAAAGAGGTGGGGGATTCAATCAAGGAACTATCCCAGAATAAAGCACAAGGAGAAAAGAGATGAGATGTCTTACTGATCAATCAAAACGGGACTCTAGAATACCTTGAATTGTTAGCATCAGAGATACCAGTAAATATTGCATT